GGGTTCTAGAGCTGATAAGAGCCAGGCATCCCACCAAAAGCCACTATTTTCCTTCTAAGTTACTCGCCAACCTACCCTGTCTCATCTCCTGCCAAGATCAGCTCTTTAGGCCCCTGCATCATTATCACAGAGCATATATAATTTCACGGCAAATCGCAAGAACTGATGAATGACTATTTGGATTGCAATTGTCAGGAGAGTATAAAATGCTTCCTGCCATACAGAGCCCAGGAATGGTTACCAGCTCTCCTGGCTAAAGGCACGGCTGACCTGCTCAGCTGCAGAGCCCCTGTTCTGCTGGGGCTGGTGTGGGGGGACTGTGGGCTGCCTTCATGGGGAGGGCACAGGGCTGGGTGCTACCAGCACAGGGGTTGGTATTCTGGTGTAATTTGTACCCTCTTTTAAAAAAAGTCTTGCCCTGCTCACCACTGGGTACCCCATCCCAAACCCCTCCCCATCACCCGCAGCCTGTGGGGAGGGTGCTGATGCCCAGTGCAGTGTCCTGGCACATGCAGGAATGACAATCTCCCTCTCATGCCCTTTCCTCCCTGCTCTTGTAACTCAGCTCAGCCTAGCCTAGCTAAAAAATTCTTCCTCTTGTTTTAATACTTTCCAAAAGAAAAGAAATTCCCTATAATCCTGAGTAAACACCAATTCATCACCAGGAGAAGGTCACAATGCTCCTGTGCTTTCTCACAGTCTCTGTACAGGGCAAAGGCACCAGGGAACATCTTTTATCTTCCCTTTCCCCTCAAAAACCCATCTGCCACCCAAAATATGAGTGAATCTGGATTGCTGACATCTTTTTATTGCTGGTTTTCAAAGCCATCTGCTTTTGTCCCATTTCATTTTCATCTCTTTATGTAAAAGCTTTTCAAGTAGACCTAAAGTTTTCCATCATTAAATTCTAAGCATTGGCCTTGAACTTAAAGTTTTACCACCTTCTGCTTCTTCAACATCAGTGTGAATTATTGACCAGGGTGACTGCTGTCAGCCCCTGACAGTGTTAAAACCCTGATGTGAGAGGCTGAACAGCCTGGCTCCTGTTTGTACTAGTTATTAACTTATTCTAATTGCCTTCAGAGCAATTAGAATACCTTTGCAAGAAGGTTTTCAACACAATCACTGGTCTCAGAGATCTTTAGGCTAATCTGTAAGAGCCAGCAGCATCTGCTTAGTGCATTATTGCCATGGGAGCTGGTTGCTGGAAGAGCAGACAGAGACCAGAGGAGGCAGGTTTGGTCAGTTTGGGTACGTACCTGGAGGGATTTCAGATGGTGTCTGGGGATCCACAGGAACCTTTTGGATATCTCCTGGGCAAACAAACTGGTCAGGGAGCACTGGCAGCCTTCCTCCAGGACTGCAGCCACACGGATCAGGGTGATCACCTGGAAGGCTGAGCTGGCAGAAGGAAGAGGTACACCCTGCCTGAAACGCTCATTGCTGTCCTCAGGAAAGTGTCATTTGTATAAAATCCATTTCTAAGCCCTAGGAAAGGCCGCAGAAGGTCCCCAAACCAACTAACAGCCCTTCCATGAATTAAATTCCAGATAGTCATCCACTTAATCCTTGTGCACAGCCATTCCCTTCAGCTCACTATGCTCTCCACTCATCACTCCCGGCAGCAGGAAAAGCTCCCCAGCCTGTGGCATCAGCCCTACAGGTGTGGGAGGAGGACTTGAAGACTCCTGGCCAAAGTCAACCACACCCCATGGGACAGGTGCCAGAGGTAAAGCAATTTAGAACCACAAATAGGTACCAGGGCTTCTGTTTCACTTCTTAATTGGGTAGGGGCCCATTAGCCTCCCCAGTAACTTCCTACAACCCTGGGGCAATGACATGTAGGTCTTAGGGTGCTCACTGTGCCCTTGGGGCACACAGAAAAGCACCATCCCTTTGTCCCCTTTGCCCACTGTACCTTGGACACCCCATCAGTGCCCTGCAGCGCAGGGTCCCCAGTCCACCCCCAGCCCCTTGCCATCAGCCGCCCCGCTCCCGATTCGGCTGCGCCAGGAGTGGCTCACCCTTCCCAGGCTCACACACACCCACAGGCAGGAGCACGCTGCATTCTGCTCCCAAATAAGCTTTTTGGATTGGGTTGGTTTGTTTGCTTTTTTATTATTTAACCAGTATGGCAGTGGTCACCCACTGCCCCCCCAGCGCTTGCTGGTGGGCACGCCGAGCAAGTAACAGTGAACAAACCCGTCACCTTCAGCAGAAGAACCCCCTCCCCTCTGGAGCAAGCTGTGGAATTATTTACACCTGGTGGTCTCTGTACAGCCCCGGCTGTCATACAACTTCCTCCACACCAGCTGTGCACAGGCTGGATACAAATAGAGATATTTCCCCCCCGGTACAGTTCAAGCGATAAATTGTCCAATAATTTGTTTGCCTGTTTGTACAAGTTACAAAGTTGGTGAACATTAAGTTTAAACTTAGGGGTTTTTTTAATAGTCTAACGTGACTTTCCCTTGGATGGCACAACCACAGCCAGCAGCGCAAGGAGGTGCCATCGGACCATGCTGCGAGGTTTTGGGGTGCTTGAGGATGCCTCAGCGGGGAGAATGACGGCCAGAGGGGGAAGCACCACAACCTGCAGGAGCAGCAGCTTCCCCTTTCCCAAAATCACACTCCTCCAGCCCACATCAGAGCAGGGAAATGGGGGCCATCCCGCTGCAGCCCCCTGGGTCTGGGGGGATCCCCACCAAGCAGCTGTGAGCCTCCTGCCCACGCTGATTTGACTTAAATTAATCAACCCAAGTGGGAGGATGCTCCCCACTCCAGCACCCCAGGAAGGTGGCTCAGAGCTCCCCAAGAGGAGCTGTTGTTGCCCCATGTTCCCCCCGCAGTGTTCCCCTATCCCTGTCCCTGCTGCTGCAGGGATGTTCCAGGGGACAGGTGGCTGCAGGAGGGTAGGGTCCATGTGGGACGGGATATGTGCGGGGAGACCTGACCATGGAGACGCAGCAAGACAGAAAGTGGCAAAACCAAGCAGTGCTGTGACTCCCAGCAAGGGGGACTCCCCAAGTGTAGGTTCCCATTGGAGCAAATCCCGCGTGTGTCTCTCTCTCCCAGTCTCATGCACCCCTGGTCTGCTCCCCTACGCTGGCTCCCAGTCCAGGGTGGGCTGTCCTGGCATGATGGGGACATGCAGCACAGCTGGGGACTGAGGTCCTACACAGAGCTAGGAACATTAGCCAAGTGTCCTGCTCCCTGCTCCACAAAAGATCCCAAAGGACCCCATGGAGCAGGGGTGTGAGGTTGCTGGAGCACCACAGCAGCTGGAGGGGTGGTCATTGGTGCCTCCCCAGCACCTCCATGTCCTCCCAGCTCTGCCACATGGTCCCCTCCTGCAAACTGCCCAGCTCAGAAGCTGGTGGGTACATCTGCCCAACCATCCATCCAGCAGCACTGAAACAACCCCACAAATACCTGAAAACTTCTCTGCCACACTCACAGCACACCCTGGGCACCGGTGTGCTTTGGGGCTTTGGGGTTCCTGGCCAGCCCTAGCCCCTCACCTTGCACACAGGGAAAACACAGTGGAGAGACAGAGAGAAACACCTTTATGGGGTTGGCACTGACAAGTGGGACTGGCTCTTAAACTCTCCATCCCATGGCTTCAGGTGCCAGCCATGCTGAATGCTGCCTGGGACTAACAGGGAGGGCAACCCAGTCCTGCTCCAGCTGGGGTGGTGAGAAGGTGGCTCTGCAGCTCCTGGCTGGAGCCCGTGGCCCTTCCTGATGCCACGACACGTGGCTGCAGGGTTGGCATGGGGTGCCCACATGGTGAGGGACCCAAATGCCACCCCAGCACCTCCATCCCCAGCATGCTGCAGCACCACTGGCGAGACCAGCCATGGCAAAGCCGTGGCTCAGTGCCTCTGCCCCAAAGGCAGCAGCTCTGTCCCCCTTCTCTCGCCTTCTTGCCATGTCTCAACCCTCGCTGGGATGCTGGCAGGGTCTGCAATGCCACTTGGTGGAGTTGCCAGCTCTGCAGCCACCTTCCACCAGCACCCGGCACCGCCAGCCCTGCAGCTGCTATCCATGGGCACCCGGCATCGTCAGCTCTGCAGACACCTTCCACCGGCACCTGGCGCCTTCCTGGACATCTGGAGACATCAAGCAGCACACAGTATTGCTACTGTGCCAAGTGGGAACTTTATTCTTCGTTGTGGTTGGGGTTTTTTTCTCTATTTTTTCCGAATCAGTTAAGGAGGCAGCTTTGAAGATGGGTTGGATTTGGATAATTCTTTTTTTTCCCAGCAAAATCTGCAACATTTTAACAGCGTTATGCCCAGACATCAGCTCTGTGAGTTTGTACAGCTCAGAGCCACGGAGACACCAGCAGCAATAACCTGGGAACGGAAAGACTTCCACATCGCTTGTGCATTGTCTCGGATTTTTTTTTTTTTTAAAAAAAAAAAAAAAAAAAAAAAAAAGCACAACAGAAAAGACACAAACATTGATGAACATTAAAAACCTGTACATTGTAAAAAAAAAAAAACCAAAAAAAACCCCCAACAACAACAACAACAACAAAAAAACCCAACCCCCAAACAAACAACAAACACCATCATTCTCTTGCTTTGAAATCAGAATCAACCTGGGAACGTTGCAGGGGGAAAAGAAAGATCCGTGGGGAAGGTGACGGCTCCGGCTGTGCCGCTGGGCCCGCGCGTGGGACGCGGGGGCTGCCGCCCACCCAGACGGGCTGGGCTGGGGCTCCTCTAGCGCATAGAATGCAAAGCATTTAATACATTTTATTTCTTTTTTTTTTTTTTTGCCATTTGTTTCCCCCCCCCCAGAGCGAGAAAGCAGAAGTGAATGAAAAAAAAGTCTAATATTTTGTTCTTTAACCATGTAACTGCAGATATGAGCCAACATCATGGAATGAAAAAAATAATGTAAAGTAGAGCATTCGTGTGTATCACAAAAATACAATAAAAACTTTTTTTTTCCTTTTTTTTCCTTTTTGTCTTTTTTTTTTTTTTTTAAAGTTTCCTGTGAACTCCCTGCCACGCCGGTCTCATGCCCGCTCTGCCCCTGCCTCAGCCAGCTCGGAGGGCTCTGGAGAATCAACGTCTACAACCAGCAAAGGTGTGTGTAACGGGGGGCCCTGCAACCATGGCAAGATTTTGTTTGGTTTTTTTTTTTTTTTTAAACTAAGTACATACATTCTCCTGACTGCCAGATAACTTTGATGGATCATTGTTACCTTTTTTTTTTTTTTAAACCCTTCCATACAATGGACAAACGCATCAAAGCCTGCATGTAAGAACAGAACCTCTTTTACAGCATGTAATACTGTGTTTTGTTTAAGTCCTTCCTTGCGTAAAATATTGACATAATTCACTGAAGGTATCAAAAATATACCCTGTAGACCAATACAATTTACAATTGCCTTTTCTCACCATTCAGAAAACAATGCACTTAAAGCAACCGAGCCCCTCGGTGGGCAGCACATGAGCCAGCCCCGGGACGTCCCTGCCCGCTCCGAGTTACCCAGGATCACTTCCACCGAAGGGACCAGGATTTTTTGTGGGTTTTTTTTAAGAAACAGCTCTTCACTCCCTCCCCTGCCCGCTCATCCCAGCCACATTCAAAGTGTGTCGCTGCGGGGCTGATACGTCTTGTGACATGGGAATGACAGGCCACCAGCCCTCGGATCAGCTGGGGAACCAACCCAGGGTGTTCCGTCCCATTTCGCTTCTTAAACCGTTTGTCTTTTCTTTAAACCCGCTCCAGGTTTTGCATTTCTGTGGCACATCCCCATGGCCGGGATGTGGGGGAGCATCCCACAGCCCGTCGCACAACTCCGCAGGAGCATCCCGCGGCCCCTTGCTCGACTCCTTGGGAGCAATGCCACAGCCCCTCGCCCGACTCCGCGGGAAAGCGCCAGCAGAGCGTCCGAGCACGCGCGGCCCCGGGACAGGCACGTGGCAGCTCCCAGTCCCTCTCGAGCGTGGGGGTCACCACCCAGCACGGCTGCCAAGATCGAAGATGGGTTCCTTGGGTTTTGTCTCGTTAAGGCTTTTTTCTTTTCTTTTCTTTATCCGACCAAAGAGGATGCAGAAATTCCCAGATGTGGAGAAAGAAAAAAAATAACCCAAACAAACAAACAAACAAAAATAATAATAATAATGAAAAAAAAAATACCCCCCCCCCTCCAAATTGGCTGGTTGGGGAGGAAGGGAAAAAATAAAGGAAAAGGGAAAAACGAAATAGCTCTGCTCCTACATCTTCGCTCGTGAGAGCCGGCGGGGCCGGGGCGGTGGGCACTCGCCCGGGGCGTCCCGCTTGCTCCCCACACCCTGGGTTTGGTCGCCGTCTCCCTGCCCCTGGCTCCTCTCATTCACTGTCCGAAAGGGTTTCGTACTGGGAGCAGAGCAGGGGCTTGGGCTCCTCGTCCCAGGCATGGTGCTGGCTGCTGGGGGTCCCCTGCGGCAGTGGGGCGGTGGGGGCTGCCGTCACCACCCCGCTGGGGAGCCGCATGGTGAGCGGGTTGTAGGGGAACGGCGTCGAACCTGCACGAGAGGAGGAAGCAGAGTCAGTGGTGGGGGGTGGCTGTTCCCGCATCCCCCTGCAGGCCCCCCCTACCCCTGCGAGGGTGGCACAGCCACTCTGGGGACCCATCCCCCGAGCCCTACCTGCGGACGACGGCCTGTCCTCCCAGACGCGGTTGGTGAGGGGTGTCCTGCGGTTGCAGTCCCCCTCCGAGTGCACCGAGGAGACCGAGGGCGGCCGCTCGCCCGAGGACAGACCCGGCGCCGGGGACTTGGCCTTGCGGCTGTTGGGCCTGGCAGCGATCTTTGGCTTCCCTCCTCCTCCTGCGAAGAGAAGCACCCGCTCATCACCCAGCTCATCGTGACAGGATTCAGGGGGTCAGGGAGGGGGTGCAGGTTCCCAGCGCTTCCCTTTTTAGGAGCTTGCAAAAATGGCTTGTGGCAGGAGAAAAGCTCACCCCGGGCCAATGGCACCATGGGGGAAGGGCAATGGGGCAGCCAGGCACAGCAGACAGAGGAGGTCTCTCTCCCCTCCTGGGCTGCTCTGCCCTGTGGGTTGATGCCACCAGCTGTCCTGTGGAGGGACGTGGGGCAGGAGCAGCCACGTGGCTTCGGCCAAGCTATTTCTCTGCAGGGTCTGCTCCTGAGCCAGCTCACGGCTCAGCCCACAAAAATGGGTCATAGGATGGAGCTGCATGTGCTGCTCCATGTCCACAGGCAGTTGGCAGGGACCCTCCAGGAGCTACATGGGTGCTGGAGCCCCAGACACATTCTTCATTCCCATGGTCTACATGGCTAGGATGGTCTTTGATCCGTCCTTACAGCACAATCCCTGGGGCTGTTTAGCCAGCTTTTAAAAGGTTTAAAGCCAAATGGGCCTCTGCCAGGGCAGAGCCTGGATAAACCAGGGGGAGCTCCCCAAAGGGGAGGGATAGATGGGCTCTGCATCCCACCTCGCCTGGCCAGGTAGCCTCTGCCGGGCATGGGGAAACATGGCTGGAATAAGCTGCTGGTTTCATGCAGGAGCCAGAAAAGCTTTTCTGCAACAAGCTTTAGAGCGCCTGGTGTGAGCTGACCTGGAGGAAGGTGCACATGTGTGCCCAGGACACTGCTCCTGAGTTGGGGACTCTGTCCCTGGATTGCTGAGGGTGATCCCTAGCACTGGTACCGTGCTCTGTACAAGGGCCTTGCATGAGGCACTCTACCCTTAGGAAGTGTGCAGGGGACAAATACTCCCTTGGATCAGCTGAATCCATCCCTGACCCCCCTCCTCCCTCTCTTCCCTAACTGAGGATCTGCTCAACAACCCTCCCAGCTCTGCTCAAGTCCCCCTGAAGCTGAGCAGACCCCACCATGGGGCCCAGTGGGCTTTACAAGCCCCCCACCAGGGCCCACAGGACAGCTCACTCCCAACCCCGCACTCTTTATCATCTCATCTCCCATCTATCACTTTTAGCCCCCCTAAAAATCTCCCTCCTGCTCCAGGTGCTCCCAGATCCCATCAAACCCCCCGTGCCAGGCTGGATTCTGCCCTGACACCCCAAAGCCCGGGGTGGGGAGAGAAATGCCACCCTGCCCTGTGTCCCCAACTCTAGTCCTTCTCAGCTCCTTCCTCTACTTTGGGAGCAGTGGGTCCCACCCAGGGTTTACAAATAGTTGGGGGTGGCTATTAAGGTTTATGGCTTTGATTTTTGGGTGGGGGCTTTTGCCCCATAAACCTTTCCATTGTGTAAAAAAAAATATAGGAAAAGGAGATATTAAAAACCAACAAACGGGGAAAGGAGCAAGTCAGTGGTTTAGAGAAAGCAACAGCACCTTCGGAGACTATTAAATTAACATCAAACAAGACCAGGATTAATCAGCAGATTCACAAAGCTCAAAGCTGGGGGAGGGTGGGGAGAAAAGAAAACCAAAATGAACAAAAAATGGGGAAGGGGAGGAATAAATCCACCCGTCAAAGGGGAAATATAAAGGCTGAGAATTAATAACACAGAGAGAGCGAAGGTGGAGAGGGCTGCAGACCTGGCAAGGAGCGCACGTCCTCGTTTCGTCCATCAGCAGGAGTTATGGGCATAGCAGCGGGCAGGCTTGCACTGGCATTCAGAGAGTTAAAAGCATTGGCACTGAGAGGTGAGCGCTCTTCCCACTGCTCGTCATATTTACCCATTAGGGCTTTCCTAATTATTGCCTCCAACCCCATGTTGGTACTGGAATTCTCTTGGACCGACTGGCTCCTACAACTGATTAGCCCTGGGAGATACGGGAGAGGGAGGAGAGAGGGGACGGGAGATGGGGGGGAGCCAAATGAGAAGAAAGATGGGGGGGATGGGGAAAGGGGGAGAAAGGAGACAAGGGAGAAGGGAAGAAACAAACAGTCAGCACATTCTCGCAAAGCAACAAACTTTGTCATCTTGTTCTTTAAAGCGCTGCGATGCACCCGTCCTCCTCCTCCTCCTCCCGCTCCATCCCGCCCCGGGGCTCAGCAGGGGCTGGCAGTGGGACGGATGGGACTCACTCTGGGATATATGGGTTTTGGGAGGGTTCCCTGGGGCCAGGACCTGGGAGAATGGGGGAGTAAGGATTTGTTGCTGATCCCCAGAGAGCAGCTGCAAGAAACAGGGGCTGCGCTCCCAACATGGGAGGCATGGGGACAGGAAGAGTGTCACCTGGATGTGGGATCCATATGCACACACAGCAAAAGTCGGTGCACCAAGAATATGGAGGCTGGGACAGTTTCCCATAAAGGAAGTCATGGAGAAAAAGGGTGAGTACCCCATAAAAACACTTGATCAGAAAGAAGGGCCTGGATTTGGCCCTGGCATCAGAGGTGGCAAATGCAGGCAGCTCCCGGAGGAGAGCACGCAGCCCATGGAGCTGCCTGTGTGGGGTTGGGTGATGTGGGGAGAGGGGAGCGCCCTTTTGTCCGTCCTCGCGCTCTTTGCAAGCCCCCTGCCCACTGCCCCAGCCCTCCCTTCCCCCTCCAGGCCAGGTGCCCACGTGGGCCAGAGGCCCCCGGGCTGAGCCGCGGCTACGGGACAGGATGCAGAGGCGCAGTGGTGTGTCCGCGTGGGTGTGAGTCTCAAGCCATGCAGTTATGGAGCAGCACCGCACAGGGACCGAGGCTCAGCCACGCCACCATCATTCCCGGGGTGGCGGTTACAGGGAACAAGCAAGGGCAAAATACAGACATGAAACTGCCAGGCACCCCAGCTCGCCCCGTCCTGAGGTGTTCCTTTCGGGATTGCCACCCTTCTGCTCAGAAAGGGATGGATCCCAGGTTCCTGTAAACCTGGTTTGGACATTTGTCTCTCTGCACATGGGCAGGGTCTCTCCTGCTCCCCTCTGGCCAGAACTGACCCCCAAATTTTGGCTGCCAGGGACCCTCAGGTCCCACCTGGCTGTACCTGCTCATCCCAGAAGATGATGTCAGCCGGCTCCTTCTCCCAAACACATTCCCACTGGTGAGCAGTCTTACACCACTGACCCTCCTGCTTCACCAAGCCCCTGCCTACAGCACCTCCTGCCCTTGGCTGTGGGAAGGCTGCTTTCTCCTACTTAAAACTAACAACCCGAAGGCATTCCTGCTGTA